ATTTAACAACAACCTAGCTCAAATAAAAATACGTACCGAATACTCAGGGTACTTTAGAGCAGGAAAGGGCGTAAGGCAGGGACGCATTCTCTCCCTGGTACTATTCAATATCTATGGATAATGCCGAAATCGCTTCTAAATTGGAAGGGCTTGTATTGGAGGGAAAAAGATCTCAAATCGATACGCAGATGATACTGTCGCAAAGGCTAAAGATGAACAAGAAATGTTCAAAGAAATGTTACAACGAATCCAGCAAGTAAGCCCGTAATAAAGGAACTCTACTGTATTATTTATATACAGGTGTCTCACGTAACTGGTTCCTTAGAACTTTTTCAGGTCTTTCCGTTTGAGTTCTTTTATAAAGCATTTCTCCTCGAATGAAAATGTTTTTGTTAGTTATATCCGTTGACATTATTCTTAACTTGTAAAAGGCCATTTGAAGGTATTCTTCTAGATTAGCAATACTTTCGATGTTTTTAATTTTTTGTAGTTTATTTCTTTTGAGGCATAATGTAGAAGCTATTACGCCAGTATAACTATTATGGCCACGTTTTTTATTTAGCCCTAAACAGTCAGATGGAGACACAATTTCATTCGAACTATACATTTTTTCATTGATTCTCGATCGTACTGCATTAACAAAAATACAAAGCAAAATATAATAACAAGGTTAATGAACACACTAAAAAATGTTTTACTAAAAGACCAGAATGAAAAACCTCAAAGATAAATATGCGTTGTTAAAAAAACAACAAATTAGATTCCCATTTCTTGTAAAGAAAAATGATCACTTGATGAGTTTAAAGGTCAAAGATGGTTTCGAAAATATATAAAAATATCATCATGTCTGAAAGTGTTTTTCCCAATAACAAGAAATTTTATTATATTAATTTAAATAACTTTCGTGTTTACAACAACATTGTTATTGCTAAACTGTAGATTCTTTTAAAGTTGTGTTAAATTTTATAATGTATTTAATAAACTATTAAAATTATGAATTGCGAAAAAGGTTGATAAGGTTCCTTTGTTTGCAAGCCAAGTTAACCAGCAATGGATCCTGAATTCGTAAGCAGACAACAATATTTAAAGCGAAGGTGTTTTTACCAATCACGGACACGCTAATATATCAACTCCAACAAAGAACTGTATTCCACAAACACATTTAATCTATTTTGTTGTTCATGTACCCTGAGAACAGTTTCGAACATATCAGCTACGATAAATTTTTAAATAAAATTGAGCAAAACAATTACAGTGGATTCTTCTTAATTGAAGAACTGGGTAACTTAGACAGCCGCTCATTTAGAAAAAATCTGATTCAAAACAATCCAAATTAAAATTAATTGTTAACATTGAGTATTGATGCTAGTAATTTTGTGTCAGAGATAGAGTTCGAGGCTTACTGTGTTATTTTAAATTGTAAACAATTAAAGATTTTGTGTGTTTCTGTATATCGTCGCCGTCCAATTTTGCTGACTCTTTTATAAATAAATTGTCTATAGTATCAAATTATCTTATGTACCAACCAATTCTACTCGAATATACTAAAATTCTACTAAAATATTGTTTTATGGATTTTAATATAGATATTAATAGAAACTCATCAAAAATGTTACGAGGTTTATTTAAGTCGTTCCAACTTAATGTTAGTGGGAGAACTACAGAACTGACCCGCACATTGGTTGACGAAACGACCACCAACGGATCAACTTTAGATTACATGATAACAAATTTACCTATCAATTAATGTTCTTTTAATATTTTTGTTGTAAATATTGCTGACCATTTTGATGGTTCGTTACTGTTCAACTATACTGATAATTTTGTTCCTCAAGCGAATCTTGAGTTGTGCATAGCATTAACTCTCAGAAAACTGAGTAATTCAAGTTTACATAAACTGACACGTTCACTTATATCCTAAGTTGTGCTATACAGGGTGTTTACGGTCTTGTGATTTTATTTTCAAGGGGTGCTTAAACATCTTAAAAGAAGGTTATTAACGTAAAAATGTCTTAATAAAAGTTGCATAAGAAAATATTACTGTTAAAAGTTTTTTTGATTTAAATAATTAATATGATTCAATAACCATAAAACCATTGCCCATAGCAATGGGCATAGCTTAACTAACGAAAACAAACATCTTTTCTGTTGTTATTGCACTGTTGGTTTGACATACATTTTCCGAATAATTCCTAATAAGGAAAGTAAAACTGGTTCATCGCATCAAGAGTGAATAATACGTAGCACATTGTTGATTTATGGGGAAGTACGCCAGAATTCTGCTACTGCTAGCCGATTGTATGCTGAGAGATTTCCTAACAGGCCAATACCTATCCACAAAAATTTACCGCTCCGGTAATTCGTGCGCGAGAAACTAGTATACTACAAACACAGCAAGATCGGGATGGTGGGCCTGGCCAACACGAATTTTAAATCTTGAAGAAGATTCTAGATGTACTCTATCTCGCCAATTAAATGTTTCAAGTCGGATTGTCTGGCGAACGCTGCGCGAGAATCAATTGTATCCTTCCATGTACAAAAAGTACAGGCTTTACAACCTGAAGATCATCCGTTGCATTTACAATTTTGCCAATAGTTTTTACAAAAACACGCTTCCAAACTTTTCTTCACTTGTATTGTCACAATACTGTCATAACACTCATATCTGGGCTGTCGAAAATCCACATGCTGTTCGTCGTAATCATTTTCAGCACAGATTTTCGATAAACGTTTGGGCCGGACTCAATGAACAACTTATTGGCACCTTTGTATTGCCAAATCGATTGACTGGAAATGATTATGTTTTGTTTTGCAAAATAACTTGACATAACTATTGGAAGAAGCAGCTGTGGAGACAATACGAAGGAAAAACCAAGGCCTAGTAAATTATGCCAATTCATGGATACGTCAAGCAACTCTTGAGATTTGAATTGATGCATATCAAGAGAATTACAAGCCAATGTTTTATACATAATCTGTAATAGAAATCAAAAGTTCTGAAAGTGAGTACTATATGCTGTGGCATCAGTTCCGATACTTCAATTAAAACATGTTTAATAAACAAGTGTCTCATCAAACTCAGGTTTTTGAGGTGCTTTTGCATTCTGAATCCATTTGAAGAATGGCATAAAACAACTGTTACGCACCCAAAGCACTCAAAACTGCAGACGTATCTTGAGAAACATAAATTAATCAATAATTTTTAATCTCATGTGATGCAGCACTAAACAGGATTACTTATAATATCTAGTGCGTTTGTAATAGATGATGAATTCAAAGAATAGCCGTAGACCACGGAGAATCAACTCGTATTAAACGCTTGTATTTCTGATATGTACTACAAAATATAAACAGGAAGTCTACTTGATTGTATTACCGTCGTCTATTAACATATCCATGTTCTTTGAGCTTAATTCAATATTCTTTTTACATGATCAAAAACCATGTAAAACAAGAAAAGATTTCTTAATCATTTTAACTGATTTCAAAGAAAGCAACTTGAATACCTCCAACTAAGAAATAAATGTCGTAGATACCTTCACTAAATTACAACTATTGCTTATTGGTGAAGTCATTTAATTCGTAAACAAATATATATTTAGGTTAATGATTCTGTACGACTCTAAGAGTTTTAAATGTTGGGCTAACTACTTCCTATATGAATCATTTCAAACTTTATTGCTCGTTAATTCATCCCTATATGGATTATGCTGCACTTTGTTTTTGTTCATAACAAGCTACAAAAATAGACACTAATTTTTGTAGCTTGTTATGAACAAATCCAATTCAAGAGGCTGTCAGAAAGCAACTTATAGTTTAATTTTTACTTTTTTAGATTTGAATTGTATTTTATAATAACCATGAATTTTTCTTCCTAAAATCAGCTGAAAAACCTTAAAGTGCAATTTATATTATAATATTTGATAAAGAATAGTGATGATACATAAACGGATATTATTTTCTTTAAATAGTTGTTGTGCACATTTATTCTTTATTAGTCACGTGATTTATGCGTTTTAAAATTTAAAAGTTAATTTACCAATCCCTGGATAACGTCGTACTGAAACTATTCTCCTAGTCTAGACACGTTCCTTACCTTTCCGACTACCATGAACATTATACGTTTTACGTTGCGAATACAAATTAGTTAAACTTAACACTATTGATGTTACGTCACACAATACCTATAACAACAATATCCAGCACATATAAAAAACTCAATAATTTATTTTTAATGATGTGAAATGTTTAACTGTTCTCATTTATAATAAATTAAATTCGTGACGTGTTCGAGAAGAAATTGCAACTATCATTTCCTCCACACACTTAACAAAAAGTATATAATTTTAATAACTTGAGCGTTGCGAATATTAAAAATAATCGACGTCTGGGCGTATATTCTATCGGAAAGTCACTTTCGAAGTAGGTAAATGCCAATAGGACTTAATTATTTAAACATCAATTTACCTACTTTATATCTACGTCATCGTATAGACAAGTGTAGAGTGTGTATTATGGGTTGGAAACCCGATACAAGTCATCACCGTGCGATAAAGAGATTGATGTCAAGGAAAGCTATATGGAGAAAAAAATACAATTTTTATTCGTTCAATTAGAAAGGTGCTTTAAACTAAAATGAATGCCGCGATGATAATGTTATTTTAAAAGGTTTTAATCACTTCTTTAAACTACGCTTTGGAAAAATTGAAAATTACTAATCGAATTAGATTATCGTTATAATGCAATTAAGTTCAGTTTAGTGTTAATTAGTATATTTCCGTTCGTTTACTATAAATAATATTTGTTATTTTTAGTTTTATCGAACTAATTTTATATTTTTTTTTATTTTTGATTCAAATCATATCTCTTGTGATTATTTATCTCAATAGTCACAAAAAATCTTTAGATAACTTTTGTAGTGTTCGACAAATTGTTATGTCTTGTTGATAACACACAATGATTATCATTATACGATATAATATTATTATTTTTTGTTACAGCTCCAGTGGAAGTTCCACCGCTACACAAGTGTTTCTCTGCAGAAGACTGGATTTTACTGGACGCGATGGGATGCAGCCCATCGCCCGGTTCTTCCGGTAGATTCCTAACGATGCATAAAAGGAGACGTAAAAAATTGACCACACGTTCTTTATCGCAAGACCACGCGATATTAGACGATATTCACCACGGACAAGTGCAGGTAAAAAAAAATATAACAATTTTTAAACCTCTTTCATTCAACCTTAAGAATAGTTAGATATTTTGTGATTAACGATATTTATTATTGACCTAGGCGATTAGGCGCTAGTCTATGTAAATATTTACCATTTTTATTTAATGTTGTTTGATAGTCGATTATATTGTTTGTTCGGTGATCCGATAAGATTTTTTTGTGACTTAAAAAAATGTAATTCAACATTTAATTGTTGTTGTTCCTAATTCATATTTTTGAATCAAAGACGTGCAACAACAAAAGTAACATTTTACTTTGTTCGTTTTTTTTCTTTTTATAATGCTTGTACGTGCATGTTTTATTTTAATCGCATTTATTTAGTCGCCGCCGTAAACCAGCAGTTACAATAACAACAATTTTATGATAATGAACGTGTAAACAAGGTGTTCTTATTTTTTAACGCCGAACGTTATAGAGCAAATAGCAAATAAAAATTGTTATAAAAAATTATTGAAATGTAATCTAGAACAGTATCGTAATAAATACGTATATTGATGGAAGTAAACCTATTTCCCGAATAATATTTGGTTGATAGGAATATGTTTTCATAAGTATTATATTTAGATTTATAGGAACATTTAGTCCTTAAAATAAATTGATTAATGCTATCGTGGTGAGAAATAAATTTATGATGAAGTTCTGTTTTAAGTAATCGTCCCAACGTAGTAACTTATAACCATAAGATACAACTTTAAGTTTTATTTTTTTGGAACACTCTGTCTGGAAAGTTAGATCCATATCAATTGCTTTCAAATTTATAACCTTTAAAGTTGATGACGTGTGAGTGATCAACGTGTAAAGTGGTGCGTTACTTTTTAAAAAAAAGTAACGCATAATCCGTGTTCGATTACTTCGTCACAACATACTTTCAAGATACTTGCAAATAAAACTGCCATTATTTAAATTGGCTGTTTAAAATAGATTTGTTTATCGGTAAATGCAACATAAAGTTTAGTGTTCAGCATTACGTTGAAATAAATATAAAATAGATAAAACACAAATAAAATGCTTTACCGAAGAAAACGTATTATCTATAAATATATTAAAGATTTAGTCTAGAAATAAATGTGTGCTTTTGCCTTCTATGATTAATTTTGATGGCGTTTTAGACTCCAATTTTTTTTTTAATTGTGAGGGTATACGGTCTAACACGATGATTTTCTGCTTGTTCATAACTCGAAGATTATTACATTGAGATATTAAAGTATACAGGATATTTCTGTAAGTCGTGGCATAATTTTAATCACAAATACTATACTAAAAATGATGACAACTCGTGTAAAAATGTTTGGCCTAATCCTATAAATCTTCAAAGTTAAGAAATTTTTAAACACTTTCTTAACTATATTCAATATGGTTTGTCTTATAAAGATAAAATTTGGCAAATAGTGCAATGTCATCATAAGTAACATCGTTTAATCACAATCGTTTAAGAACACTTGTGAAAACACAGTAATGTCTCGATAATCCGTGTAAGCGGTAATCCGAAGTACTCTGTAATCCGCACCAAATCTCGGTATTCGATGATCAGAATATGAGTATCCTACAATCCGAATGCATATTCTTTTTGCGTTCTTTTCTATGTGCTAGCTTTATAAAAAACTGCTATCATGGTCCTTGCAAAAGAAAGACTTTGCAGACAGGAAAATTTCAAAAAATGAAAAATTCATGGTTTTTAAAAAAAGATCTCGTCATTGGACTAATAATTCATATGAATATTTAGCTGAACAGGCTAGGATGTTTTACCAGAAACATTATAGAAAATACGTCTTTTGTGCTAGTACAGGTTAGATGGCAAAATTTACAAACAGATATCACCTGAGAAATTTGATGATCACTGATGAGAAGCTGTCTAACAATTTTCAAGCAATTGTACCGTTTAAAAAAAGTTGGCTCAACACATTAGAAAAGAAAACTAAAGCCATAATCAAATATAGAACACAGACGAGTCAACTTTATTTTATAAAACTCTTCCAGATAAAACTTTGGTGGGATCTAACAATAAATAGTACCACGGCGTAAAACAATGGATCAGAATGCAATCTGCTTAATACAACTATTTTACTTAACGAATCAGATGTTACATAATGCCTTAGCAAATAAATTTGAACGATGTCGTATATCTACTATCTGTTTCATAGATAAAATTAAATCGTTAATTAAGAAATGTTTAGATAGCAATGAAGAATAGGAAGCCGAAGATTTGATGCCATTGGCCTATATAGTAAAACAAAACATAATTACGGCATAATTATCTAAAAAGTCATCAGCCAAAAAAGAAGCAAACAATATTCATCACTTTGTTTTATTAGTATAAGAAAAATGTTTAAAATTAACATTAAATTATAATTTATTTTTGTTATTTATACATAGTTGCATAAATTCAAGTCAATTTGAATGCATTTTCTTTTATTTCCTCAAATAAAAGAATGATTCCAGTAATCCGAAATATCGTTTAATCCGAATTGCTCTTGTTTTAATTGATTCGGATTATCGAGTCATTACTGTATGCAACCACGGGATCAATGTTATACAGGGCATCCACAAAGGTTATTTCCATAAAACTGTTTTATTATGTCGTAAAAATGCCAACAATTCAATATCCCAATAGTCATCTGTTTTTTGGATTACCAAACGACTTTTGACTAAGTCAACTGCAAAATGCTGTGGAAGGTTCTTCGCGAGATGGGAGAGCCTGAACACCTAACTATACCTATAAAAAACCACTATGACAATATCATAGCCGTAGTGAGAACAGAGAACCGACACTCTTTGGCCTGGTAGGGGTGCATACTGCTGCATACTGTTATGGGCCCCTGGTCCCTGAGTATTCACCAGGGATGCATACTTTATCCAAATCTCTTTAACATCTATGGAGAACATAATGAGAAAGGCATGGGCGAATGCAATGGAGGGATCTCAATGGCGGGCAAGAGAAACCAAAATTATAATCGTCGATCGTTCTGATGTCCTGCGACTCGTATTCCAGATCATGTACCTAGACTCATATATTGATAATATATGTTCAAGTGAGAGCAACATCCAAAGAAGAATAGGATTGGTTAAAAGTGCAATTAGTAGACTATCTAGATCTGGAAAGACCGCTCTATTACAAAAAGTACTAAGGGCCGGTTGTACAATATACCGATAAACTTCCCGACAGCGTTATCTGGCCGATAAGTTAGTTTGTACTGTATTGCATTGTACGGATATTTTTATCGGTGAGATTATCGGAAGGATAACTTATCGGGTACTCAGCGGTGCCGATAAGACAGTTATCCGCCAGATATATATGGTTACCAAGGTTGTTATATAAAAACTTTGTATAGTTACTGCATAGGTTAACCTATCACACCCAGAGTTTTCATTATTGTCAAAATCATAGTTCAAATATCAAAGAAAGACGTTAGTATTACCAACCTGCGGCACAAATTACCAGATATGAGGAAAAACTGCTAAAAAACGACTCTTATTTCGCCGATAGTAATCCTACCGACAAAAACAGTTTGTACAACAGCGAATATCTTTATCCTCCCGATAAGTTTATCAGGCAGATAGTTATTTACCGGTATTTACCGGCCCTAAAACGGGATTCGTTCAATCACTGATCCTCTTCATCTTCCGATATGCAGCGGAAACGTGGGCAATTAAAGCAGCGGACAGAAAGAGAATTGATGCGTTTGAAATGTGCTGCTGTAGGCGCACGCTCCGAATTCCGTGGATAAATCAAACGAATCGATCCTTAAAGAATTGAACATCCAGAATAGACAATCTTCTATTTGTCTTGCGAATATCCTGAGGTTTTTTGGATTACACGAAGAGATGATAATAATATGGAGAGGTTGATAGTATCGGGAAACGTAGAAGATTACTAGCACTTCATTTTAGGGCTTTGTAAATACTGACGGCACAAGTTGCTAATGGTCACAATTTTCAGTGATGAAAGAACGACTAGAAAGAAGAACCAAACTAAGGTGGATAACTGGAGCGAAAGTAGTAAGTTTTTATTTAGTATCAGGGGTAAGACATCAGACACTATGAATACCTAAGGACAAAGACTTAGTTGATTTCACGGTCGTTTGCTCGCATTTTTATTGTCATCATTGCGCCCCATGTTGCTTTCTGATTAGCTGATCAACAGAAATGAATCCAAACAACTGTTTGGATTCTCTTCCCTGTTGGTGGGTTATGGTGGTTTCTTCGACTCCAAATGCGTTGTGGTATATAAACAACTTATGTTCCTGCATGTCCACAAGTTCAATCATTCTATTGCCTTCTATGTTTCTATGCTATATGATACCACAGCATACTCTATCTTCTGTTCATTATTATTTATGTTATTCTAGATTTGAGTGATTTTGCTGTCGTTTAAGTTTTTTTTAAGTAGGTTGGCATAACTTGTTGTTCGTGAAGGATCATCTGTTACCTCTTAATCTTTGGTGGTGATATTTTTGGTGTTGGGTCCAATTAAATGTTGATGTTTCGTTATACCGGTTCGCTGAGTAAGAAAGCTGGTAATTCATTTTCTCCGCCGAGGAATTGCGAATAATTGCCGTGGTTAACCGCAATGATCCATGTTAGTACGTTGTAACTGATTCTTCATTGTGGGTTATGTAGCCTTCTTGATGACGGTTCAAGTACTCTTATTTTCTTCTCTTATCTGTATTTATAGATGGAATGGTAGGTAAAAATTATTACTTCGTCTAAATACACAATTCCGACATTTTTAGATATCCGGGGAGCACCTCTTGCATCATCAGGTTTTAGATGGTGTCTAACATGTTTTTGTTACTGAATGGCACAGCTTTGAATTATTACGATGTGATAAACAACGTGAAATGTGTTAAGATTCGTTCACCACAGAGATTTATCAGAAACCTGCTTTTAAATCTAGAGGATCCCACTAGCTCCGTTGAAATGATGTGGAGAGCCTTCATAATTACCACCAGTTAAGAATTTTCAGAATT